TTTGCAGAAGCGGCGCTCGCCGTTGACCATCTCGAATCCCCACAGGGTCGTGGCCGTCCAGCCATTGATGTCGCTATTCAAAACCTCAACCAGGGCGGCGTGGTCGTCCTCACTCACAACGAGCTCGCTACCGAGTGTGAATTCGGTTGGCACCTCGCCGTGACCAGCAAACCTGCAATGCATGTTCACTGGGCCAAAGATTGGGACCGTGGCGGACCGCTTCTCCCCGTCGACGATGTAGTCGTTCTTGGAGTCGAAACCGCCGGGCCGGATGGTCTGCTTGAAACTGAGCGTCGTGGCGGCCGAAGCGTCCTCCTGCGGCATCCGCGCGTATTGCAGCTCGATGTCGGCAATGTTGATGACCTTGCGGGCGATCCAAGGAACCCCTTGCTGTGTATCATTAGAGTCCAGACCCTTTCGACAGTACTGTTTGTGCGCAGAAGTATACAAGCTTACCAAGGCAAACGATTGTTCCATGCTTTCAGACAGGCTTCGGTTGAGGCGCCAGCGACCGCTGAGGTCGGCGACAGTGACTTTATTAGGGGCGGCCATATTGCAGGTTTGAGGTGGCGCTTTGGTTTGGATATGAGAGAGTAAGAGGCACACGAGCAGCACTGGAGGGCGGAGTTATAACGATTTATACATCCACAAGTAGGTCGTACAACTCGGACAAGCAGGGACAGAGTCCCCGACCCTGACCGTCACGGACCGTACTTATGTACTTGTACCACCCCAGCACCGAGAGATCGGCCTCCATTGCCAATAATAGTTGAGGCTGGAGGATAGCTTGTTTACGATGCCTCTCTTTCCCACGGCTGCTCCGCTTATGTCAGCTAGGACGCGTTGAAAGATGCAAATTAGAATTCCGCTTATGCACGACGCGCCACAAGATTACGCAACGAGGTAATTAGGGTTTTGTTCCCCTTTGAGCTAGGACAGTGAGCGCTAACCAACGGCAACCTGCAGTTTCCCGACCGGCTCTTTCTGACCCGTGCCTTTCCAGTTGGCACCGAAGATGGTCTGGGACGAAGTGAAGTGATGATGCAGGAGGGTAATCAAAAAGACAACATATAAATATATGTGCACTGGGTGTCACATTTGGCTCTGGCAACTCGGCTATTGCTCCTCGACTGCCCAACGACTTGAACATGGGAATTTCTTGATTTCCATTTGCCGCCGTCTACGCACAACCCTTGGTTCCTGGCCCGAGAGGTGGCAATTGTAAGTACCCGGACACTACCTAGTGCACCTGTGCCTGGCCATTATGTCAACTGCATCGAGGCTCACCAGCAACCCGGCATCCTCAATGTCGGCTACACACTCGATAACCGCAGCTCAAGATTGGGTAGAATTCTGGATGCTGCCTCTGCGTGGCAGCGAGGAACTCGTCAGATAACACTAGCGAGGCGGTTGTTAGGTTAATGTTGTACGACTGAAAGCCTGCTCTCGATGTTTCGTTTTTTCCCCCACTCAATCAAGAGATCTACCAAGTACTAAGTATGCTCTGCGTACCCCCACATGAGGTGACGAAAACGCGCAGCTGGGTCGACTCTACGAAGTAACTCCCGTGTAAAACCCGAGGGTCTGGAATCTCTGGCCTCACCCCATCCGAACCCGCAAGGAAGGCCTTATGGGCTCGAGCTGCGGCTGAGGGATGCGGCGAAGTCTTCATGGCGTGATGCAGTGTAGGAACTCCCCGGCCTACTTGGAACGCAGAAGGTCTAGACCCTGCGCGCGATGGAATGCAAGCTCTCTCCCGTGTGAGGGCGCAATCGGGTGCCGTGTTCGGTTCGGAGGACCCCGCCTTGGAATTGTTGGCTACGAAAGATAGTGCAGCATGCCAGAACTGTGTCCGGGAAGGGCATCGGATGGTTGCCGGCTGAGCTCTGATTGGCCAACTGCAGGCGTCGTCGATATCAATGATCAGACCACCGCCCCCTTTTGGGGGTTCCTGTCTGGCCACCAGTGTCACTGCTCTGGGTCAATGGAACATTGCTGCTGGCCGTCTCTTGTCCTTCCGAACCAGGTGTTCGCTGCCTGCCTATAAAAACGAAACCGCTTCTTTCCACATTCCATTCCCACCAAACCCGCCCATAACACCACTAAAGTTGAACCTTGACTACCTCTCTACCACTTTCTCCTCGGTCAGTTGGAATCGGCCAAACTCACCTGGCTGCGGCCAACCCACCAATTCAACATGAGCGACTCGAAAGAGCTCGAGAGCATCAGTCCCTATGGCCCTGCTCGGTCGACGGTCAAGGACGCCCCCCTCTCGGAGGACGACATGAAAAAGTACAATGACTTCTTCAAAGCCAGCCTGTACCTCAGTCTCGGCATGATCTACCTCCGCCAAAACCCCTTGCTCAAAGAGCCCCTGAAGAAGGAGCATCTCAAGGCCCGTCTGCTCGGCCACTTTGGCTCTGCGCCAGGCCAGATTTTCACCTACATGCACTTCAACCGCCTGATATCCAAGTACGACCTGGACGCCATCTTCATTTCGGGACCCGGTCACGGCGCTCCCGCTGTGCTGTCGCAGGCCTATCTCGAGGGCACCTATTCCGAGGTGTATCCCGAGACGTCCGAGGACGAGGAGGGCATGCAAAAGTTCTTCAAGCAGTTCTCGTTCCCCGGCGGCATCGGATCGCACGCAACGCCGGAAACCCCAGGCAGCATCCACGAGGGTGGCGAGCTCGGCTATGCGATATCCCACGCGTTCGGTGCCGTGTTTGACCACCCCAACCTGATCGCCCTGACCATGGTGGGCGACGGCGAGGCCGAGACGGGTCCTCTGGCGACGTCGTGGCACAGCACCAAGTTCCTCAACCCCATCACCGACGGTGCCGTGTTGCCAGTGCTGCATCTGAACGGTTACAAGATCAACAACCCGACCATCCTCGCCCGCATCAGCCACAAAGAACTCGAGAACCTGTTCATCGGCTACGGCTACCAGCCGTATTTCGTCGAGGGCGACGACATCGACTCGATGCAGCAGGCCATGGCGGGGACACTCGAACACTGCGTTTGTGAAATCAGGAAGTTCCAGTCGCAGGCCAGGGAGTCGGGCAAGGCGTTCCGGCCGATGTGGCCCGTCGTCATCCTCCGGACACCCAAGGGCTGGACCGCCCCGCGCAAGATCGACGACAAGTACCTCGAGGGCTACTGGCGCTCCCACCAGGTCCCCATTACCGACGTGCACAAGAGCCCCGACCACCTCAAGCGGCTCGAGAGCTGGATGCGCAGCTACGAGCCGGACCGTCTGTTCGCCGACGGCAAGATCGGCCAGGACCTCAAGGCGCTCTGCCCGACGGGCAACCGGCGCATGAGCGCCAACCCAGTGGCCAACGGCGGCGTGCTGCGGAAGCCGCTCCGGATGCCCGAGTTCAAAAACTACGCCATCCAGGTGGACAAGCCCGCCGCCACCATGGACGCCAGCATGCAGAACATGGCCAAGTTCCTGCGCGACGTCATGGCGCTGAACCCGACCAGCTTCCGGCTCTTCGGCCCCGACGAGACCGAGTCCAACAAGCTCGCCAACGTGTACCAGGCCGGGAAGAAGGTCTGGATGGGCGAGTACTTTGACGAGGACGACGACGGCGGCAACCTGTCCCCCGCCGGCCGCGTCATGGAGATGCTCTCGGAGCACACGTGCGAGGGCTGGCTGGAGGGCTACATCCTCAGCGGCCGCCACGGCCTGCTCAACAGCTACGAGCCCTTCATCCACGTCATCGACTCGATGGTCAACCAGCACTGCAAATGGCTCGAAAAGTGCCTCGACGTGGAGTGGCGAAACAAGGTGGCCTCCCTCAACATCCTCCTCACCGCCGTGGTCTGGCGGCAGGACCACAACGGCTTCACGCACCAAGACCCGGGCTTCCTCGACGTGGTGGCCAACAAGAGCCCCGAGGTCGTCCGCATCTACCTCCCGCCCGACGGCAACTGCCTACTCTCCTGCATGGACCACTGCCTGCGCTCGTCCAACTACGTCAACGTCATCGTGGCCGACAAGCAAGACCACCTCCAATACCTCCCCATGGACGAGGCCGTGGTGCACTGCACCAAGGGCATCGGCATCTGGCCGCGGTTCAGCACCGACGCCGGCTTGGAGCCCGACCTCGTCATGGCCTCGTGCGGCGACATCTCGACGCACGAATCCCTAGCCGCCATCGACCTGCTCCTGCAGCATTTTCCCAACCTCAAAATCCGCTGCGTCAACGTGGTCGACCTCTTCAAGCTCATCTCGCACGTCGACCACCCGCACGGCCTGACCGACGCCGAGTGGGTGGCCCTCTTCACGGCCAACCGGCCCATCATCTTCAATTTCCACAGCTACCCGTGGCTGGTGCACCGCCTGGCATACAAACGGCCCGGCAGCCATAATAACCTGCACGTGCGCGGGTACAAGGAGAAGGGCAACATCGACACGCCGCTGGAGCTGGCGATCCGCAACCAGACGGACCGCTTTAGTCTGGCCATGGACGCGATTGACCGGATTCCGGATGTGTTGGGGAACCGGGGCGCCGCGGCCAGGGAGGCGCTGCGGAGCGCGCAGATCAGGGCGAGGGATCGGGCGTTGGAGGACGGGGTGGATCCGGCGTTTTTGAGGGATTGGACGTGGTCGCGTAGTTGATTGGGGGTTGTGGAATGGGAGGAGATAGATCCATCGTCTTCTAAGGGTGTTTGTGTCAAGTGTATGTACTTGAAAGGCGTTTCCGTAACAAACAAACGGGCGCGAGGATGATAGGGGGATGGATCTCGGAATAGAGTCATGATTTGACATGTCGGTGATTTCCCAGGGCCAGCCATGAAAACTGTGAGGTATGATCAAATTAAGACGGAGAAAAGAAGAATAAGAGGAAGAAGAAGAAAAAAAGAAGAGAAGAAGAAGAAGAAGAAAGAAGAGAAGAAGAAAAAGATATGATAAAAAGAAAAGGGAGAGTGTTTCCTCCCCCCTCAAAAAGGACTCGGGCGCCTCTCGAACCTCAACAAATGAAGCGAAGCCTGCCCGGCTAGCTCAATCGGTAGAGCGTGAGACTCTTACTCAAGAGACGCACACATCTCAAGGTTGTGGGTTCGACCCCCACGTCGGGCTCAATTCCCGTCGAAACGATTCGATATCTTTTTCTCTTTTTTCGGTTTTTTTCTCTCTGCTGGTTGTGTGTGTGTGGTGTGTGAGTCAGGGGCTGGATGAAAATTAATTTTGGCAAGGTGGGCCGGGCCGTTCGGAGTTCGGGAAAGGGGTTAGGGTTGGTGTTGATGTTGATGTGGGTTTGGGGCAAGTTATCAGGGTTGGGGTCAAAGGGACAACACCAACACCAACACCACGTTTGTCTAGACAGGCTCGAGACAGAATAATTTTGATATGTCTGCCCTCCTGCCTTGCTTCTCCTTGGGTCGTCTGGGATCGTCACGCGAACGGACCTACAGACTGTACGTACACAGTAAGTCAGGTAAGCACTGATGATCGTTGCAGGTGAGGTGGTACTTCCTTCCATACTGCACACAGCCGGATCTGCGTTCGTCGTCCAGCGGGAGATGACCGCCCCTAACACTATGCGATGAGCTCATCGCCGATTTGGGTGAGACCTCTTCAACGGTAACGGGAATATGGTCGGTGCGTGTTGTCCTCAAGTAACGCCGTAAAATAAGAGTTTCGCGTGGCAGCTGCGTGGCTTGTATGCAGCTTCGTCTGATACGGTGTCTCATGCATGCTTCCCGAAATAAGGGGAAAGAGTCTATTCGGCGCTCTGTCGACGAGACGACCCTAGTATCCGCACCTGGTTACAGGTACTAGGTATTGTACGGATTACCGTTGAGGGAACAAGAGGGGTTCCGGGCACGTGGATCAGATCATCAGAGCCGATCCCGTACATTTGGCATGGCTGTAACCACATGTGACGTGTCTGGGGTTCGGGATCAGCAAACCTCCAGTTATTTAGTACACGTCTAGACGTCCAAGGGATCGATCGGGATTCGGGATGACGGAGAGAGTTAAAGTTTTGGGGAGAAAAAGCCTGGAAGGTCTGTTGGGAGTCCATAGTCGTTCGGAGGAAATTGCTTGGTCGAACCCATGGTGCCAGTTGGCTAATCACATCCTTCCATCACTAAACGCATGCTGATCAAGAACAAACTAACTCCATAGTGCGAAAAGCGCCTGGTGTGGCCAGCAAATGAAAAGGTGGCTTCGAGTTCGTTTGCGGTGGTTTGTTGAGCCAGACTGCCCGATCAGTTATCACTATGACGAATTGGCGGAGCTAAAGACTTGGCGGAGCAGCGAAAACGGAAAGGCCGCGGGTAAGGTGAGTGACCGAGCACGGACACCCGACTTGGCAGCGTGGCGGCCGGAAAATGCCATGGGAGGGAGACATGGGATTCCCGCGGAGCTCATGCTACGGCGCTGACTCTGGACACACCCTTACACCCAACCTGCTGCGCCTTTCCCCTCGATTGCTCGAAGGATGTTCACATACACCATAAATTACGATGTAGTATTCATTCAGTAGATGCCACACAGAAAAAGGCCCACACTCATAGCAGCTTCAAGTTGGTTCAATCAATCAATCTTTCAGTTTCTGCTTGCCGCAGCTGTCCGGCGCTTCGGCCAATCCAAGGACTGGTTTGCTCTCTTGAGCGCTGGCGGGGCTCGAGAGTCGAGCGGGGTTGCAATCAAGCTTGTGCGGAGTGGGCTTTCTTGGGATCTGCCCGTCTGCGTCCTGCGCCTGCCAAGGTGGCTGGCCCCGGGCTGGTTAGGTTGAGGGGCGAGTGGGGCGTTTTGTGACAGGGCTTCCCAGAGCGGGCAAAAAGCTCCGGGTGAGCAAAATCGCGGCTTTTGCAGCGAGACTTCAATTCTTGGGAGAAATGTGTCCTTGCTGAACTTCATCTGAGACACGCTCAGAGACGGCGCCGGCTGACGTCTCGTTAAACGTGTCAATCGGAAGGGGCTTATGCGGCACGAGAGCCGCAACCGTCCCATCTCACACCTGCTCTACACCGAGGTCTCGGCCGACAACCCCCTCATCGGAAGACGAGGCAATGCGGTTGAGCGGCTTTCCTGTACGTGTCTGGCCAACCACCACCTCCGGGCTGGTCCCCGGGTTCCGTTTTCCAGAGCCTGACGGACCCACCCGGTTTGGCAGCCACGCTCCTTGAACTCAAGTACAAACAAGAATATTAGCATTCGGCCTAGGCGGGAAGTATGGTCCCGTTCGCTCACAGCTTGCGTGTGATGGTGCTGAGAGCCCTGGGCAAACAACCCCGACAGGGCCGACACAGCCCGCTTGCTCGGCCATCCCGAGGAGAAGGTTTGCAACCTCCAGTGCAGCCACCAGAGGACAGAAGACAGGTCCTCGAAGAAACACCACACAGTATGCAAGCAGTCGGAGCCGCCGGTTCTGATTGGTTCGATGGCTGGGCCAACAGAGTGGGGCGCCAAGATGGGTCTGAAGGCTCTAGAACCATCGGGCATCGGCGGATGTGAACAGCTGATAACTGCAGCCGCTGTGCAGCACGCATGGAAAGCGAGGCAACCTGATTCGTCGTCCAAAGGGCTGCGGGAGAAAGCTCGGCTCCTCGGCTTGCATCCTGAGGCATCTCAATCCTACCGTGTGTTTTGCACGGTATGCAAACGGCTTTTTAAGTGCCAGTGGAGACACCCACATGGGCCCCTGGTCCCGTTTATACCAACACTGAACAGTGTACGGCATTGCTTCCGTGCCAGTCAATTGGGGCGACTTGGCTGGCCCAGGCAGTGCAAAAATTACCCTAACGCTGACGCGGAAAGGGAGAGAGATAGGCCCGTCACCTCCGCTGCCCTACCTTATCGATAGTGGGGCAGCCGTTGGACGCAGGGAGGCAGGCAGGCTCGAGGCAGGCACTGGTCAGGCAGGTAACGAGCCGGGGCAACACCGGGAGGCTTGAGTCGCTTGACGCTTGACGCACCGGTTGACGTAACGGCGTGTAGAAGCGGAGCTAGCTCTGATCGAGATCGAAACTCACACCCCCCTGCCTGCCGATCGGGACACCAACCTTTCGATATGCAGAACTCGCTCGAAACGGCTTGTTTTTCTCATGTTTTCCAATGCACCCTTTCTCCGCATCCCAAGAAGCCATCTATCTATCTGTGCTGCTGTGGTATCCTGATCCTGCCCATGACTACATAAGCACCGCGTCCCTTGCTGCTGCTCTTTGCTGCTCTTTACCACTAAATCTTGTACTAAGTCTTGTGTGTTTCTCCAAGCTTGACAGTTGACATCATCTTGTCCCTACACAACTCTAGTTAGCACTCGCACAGCTTGCTAGCTTGAAGCTTCTTCTCTACTCCAATAGCAACGTATCATCTGACCCCCAGGCCAGGATTGGTCATCGCAATCACCACGACTATGAGCATGAAGCGTCTCTCCCCCTTGTCCGATTGCAGCGACGCGACAGAACCGCCCGTGAAGAGGGTAAGATAGCTTCCCTGCACCCACTCGCTGACCCCCGCTGACATCTCTCGCTTGGTACAGACGCACCGTACACACGAGGAAAACCAGGAGAGGGCGTACATCGCAGCTTCGCGCAGGGCCGATCGAAACATCGAGCACCGGATCAGGTCAGCCCTGAAGGCGTCCGAATGCCGAAAGAAGCGGACGGGCAGGGGACTCAAGATCACCCGCGAAGCCGTCATGGGCGACGAGCAGTACGAGAGCGAAGACGAGGACCCCACCACCCGCCGCTTCAGCCTGCCCACCACCACCAACCTCTCCAACAACAGCCCTCCCTCCTACACGATGAGCCGCGCCGATCGCTACGCCGAGGTTGACGCCCTCTTCGCCAAGCACTTCCCACACGTCCAGCTGTCTTCGCGGTGGTCGACAGCACAACCACCACCACAACAACAACAACAACCCCGGCAACAGCAGCCCAACTACCCACAACCGCTCCCGCTCCAACCCGCCTACGTGCCCCGATACAGCCAGCACGACGCAGCAGCAACAGCAGCAGTTGCAGCAGCAGCGGCCACCATCCAGCCCTCTCCCCCGCCCACCCCCCCCATGTCCTACCCCCTACCCCCAACCCAAGGCGAGGAGGACGACGAAAAACCCGGCTCCATGTCCCCTCTAGCGTTAGAAGCATCCCAATTCCCCGTCTCCTCCTCCAAAAACCAACTTCCAGCAACAACAACCCTCAACCTCAGCATCGACCCCCCCACCACCACCACCACCACAGGAGGCTATCACCACCTCATGCCATCCTCCATCGTGGTCGACGACGAACAATCCCCCCCATTCCAACTAATAACCCCCATCGACTTCTCCGCCGACGCAGCCGCCTGGTTCGGCGGCGATAACAACACCACCACCACCACCACAACAACAACAACGGGCGGCAGCGCCAGCGAGTTATTCCAACACATGCGAAGCCTCTCGCTGCCGTCGGCGCTGGAGCACTTCCAGTTCGGTTCTTACGGCGACGACAACGATGACAACAACATCTCGACGGCGTTGGTGGTGGATCCGGCGATGTTTTCGTCAGACGATCCTACTACTACTGCTCTTGGGGTTGTTGTTGCGACGCCGACGCCGCCGAATGAGCCGTGGTCGGAGTGGGTTGATTTGGATGGGGATGGGGCGCATGTGGCTTTGGGGGTGGAGGTTTGAGTTTGAAAGACATGAACTAAAAAAAAAAAGAAGGGGTTTGGGTTTCTTTTTGGGTTGGGGGGGGCGATTGGGAAGGGGAAAAAAAAAAGGAGTTTGTTGGTTCTGCTTACTGCTTGCTGCTTGGGCTTGGGCTGGGGCTTGGGCTTGGGGGTTGGACTTGGGAGTCGTTACTAGCGAGGTGTTAGATACTGCTACTACTACCTTAGTTTGTTTGAGTAGCTGGGGAAGTAATGAGTTAATGAATTAATGAATTAATGCAATCCCGGTTTCATTTCGTTTTTTTTTGGCTGTTGTCTGAGTTTGGTGAATCCGAGAGGGGGGGGTATGACTGCGGGAAGGTTGGACTTTTATACCCTTTTGAGCGGTCAAGTAGTAGCGAATGAGCCGCCGCTGCAGTCATCATCACACTCATCATCACACTCGCTTGGTGAATCATCGTTGGAGTGGTAGACGT